TCGCGCCCGGCGGCCGGGGCAGGCCAGCGAGCCCGCCGGGCTGAGGGGGGCACTGACGCGGGCCTGGAGACTCAGTCGTCGCTGTCCGCAGTAAGGCCGCTGCCGGGGGGGGGACACACACACTCTGAGCCCTCCTACGTGTGTGGGGGGAGGCCCGCAGACCTAAAATTCTCTGCCCTTTCGGGCTCTTCCCTCTTCTCTTTGCGGGCGGTGTCAAGGACTCGGCCCCCTTGTGTGTGTGAGGAGAGACTCCCTCTTGCCGGGTCAGTTTCCAGGTGCTCCCCTGTCGGCGGGCGGGGAGCTGCCAGCCCTGGGGGGGTGTGGCTGTCTTCAGCTCGGCAGTGATCTGAGGCTTGGTCCCCGGTGCCAGCGTCCACAAACCCCGCCTCAGATTTCGTTTTTAAACAAAAATGTTTTGTTAATGGTACCTCTGGTACTTTTTGCTCTTAGGTGATTGTCCTCTGAATGCCCATGCCACAGCCACGGGAGGACTGCTACAAAGAATATATCAAAATGATGACAAATATTGTCATTTTGAGCTTGCTTATTTGTATTTCGTTATCTTTCTGGATTGTGTCCATGACCGCAAGTACGTACTATGGTAAGTCCATGGCCAGCCTACATGTGTGAGCAAAGCTAAGCCCTGTGCTCAATTTGAGGGTCTATTTCTGTTAGTAAATGGTAACTTTTGAAACACTGCTGCCTGTTAACTCCAGACCTTTGAAGAATGTTTTAGTCATTAAGGGGACACTGTGGATCCTGATGCAAATTGAAAAACCAATGGCAGACTGAGCCCCGGGCATATGGTTAGAGACTTCTCTGCTTCAGTAAGGTTTGTAATGGTCTACAAATCAAAGTACAAATTGATGGTAGCCGTTAATATCTTCCAGCATAAAACCCCCATCTCAACTCCACCCACTGATTCAGTAGAGTTTAAAATATGGTTGCCCTAAATAGGCATGTCAGTGATTAACTGGTCACTCTTCTAGATTGATGCTTATCAGCTAACTAGTGGCCAGACTGAACTGGAGCAGCCCCACACACCCAACATGGGCAGGGGGCTGCCTCAGCCAGGCCAGCCTCCCACCCGCATTGGGCCCCCAGCCTGGCTGTAGCAGTCCCCCCTGCCTGCTCTGTTTATGCGATAACCAGTTAAACATAATATTTAACCGGTTAATTGATTAAATGAGACTTTACATCCCTAGCCCTGAATGACTTCTCTCCCAGACAGAAAAAAAGAAATAATTGTAGAGAAACATGGGAGGAAGGGCACAGACATAAGAAAAAATGGGGCACCCTAATAAGGGGGCACATGGGGACACACACAAGTCCTGGCATGAAGGAAGGGATCTGCTGTGAGTTTCTAAAATGGAGGCGGCAATAGGAGCTTGAGGGGGAGGAGGGGACTGAGGAATACAAGAAGTGTGTGATGAGCTCAGCTCTAGCAGCAGCAAGGTGTGCCAATCCTCTAATAAAATATATCTTGATCGTATTTTGTTACTTTTGCCGTTAAGATTTCTTCTGTCAGTATTATTTCTAGTAGACAAAATACGTGTCAGAATTATTGTAATAGGCAAGTATTAAGGAATAGTTTACATACATTTTCTGTTAGCAGTCTGGTGACTGTACATATCCCATCCATTACTCTTATTTGTAAATCACAACATGAAGATTGTTTTAACATTGCTAACTGTATAAGTATAAAGACTTTCAACACTGTTGAAGAAATTCATAAGTATTTCTTTTGGTTCTGAGTTAAGGTAGCTGCAATGTATAAAGTGAACTGCCGTGTGTTTATATTATCCTTAACCACATGTATGAACTCTGAGTAATAGTATATTTAGTAAATTTAACTGAACAGTTTTGTACGTGGGAATTTTCTTACATGTCTTTTGAGAAAATAAAAAGCCCTGTACATTTAAAACTAGTTGGCATGCACAGTACCCATGCAAGTTTGTATAGAAAAATTTGTGTTGGCTGATACTGGAAGGCAGTACGCTTTTTCTTACACATCTTAGGTATGCCCAAGGTAGCGCTCCTCTCCTATTTTTTCTGGGGGCCACATCTCTTTCATTATATTAATGGAGGAGGTGCTGGGTCTGGGATGGAGGTTGAGTGCAGAAGGAAGCTTGGGGTAAGGGATTAGGGTGCAGGAGGGCATGTGGAGTCTGGGAGGGAGTTTGGGTAAAGGAGACAGTTATGACCTGGGGCACGGGACTGTGGTGCAGGAGGAGGTGAAGGGATTTGGGTTGTGATCTGAGGCAGGAAGGGGTTGTGACCTGGGGCAAGGGATTGGATTGCAGGGATTTAGATTGTGACCTAGGACAGGAAGAGTTTGTGACCTGAGGCTGGAGACTAGGATGCAGGAGGGGGGTACAGGGTTTGGGTTGTGATATAAGGCAGAAGGGAGTTATAACCTGGGGAAGGGGATTAAGTTGCAGGATCTGGGAGGGGTATGTGTTCAGGAGGGGGGCAGAGGGTTTGGGTTATGTGGGGTGGCAGTGGGTTGGGGGGAGTGAGGGCCTGGGGTGCCAGAGGCAGGCTCTGACCAGAAGACTTACTTGAGTGATTCCTGGCCAGAAGCCCAGCCTGGGGCTCAGGTAGCCTCCGGTTTGAGTTATGTGGAGGTGGGCCTGGGGTGCCAGAGGCAAGCTCTGGCCAGGAAACTGACCAGTGTGCCCCCAGCCGGCAGCCCAGCATGTTTCTCAGGCAGGCTGCCTGCCTGCCCCACCCCTGCACAGGCTTCAGGGGCCATGTTCATCTGTGAATAAGAGCCTGCGGGGAGCCGTGCTTTGCGTGCTGTCTGTTCTTCAAACAGGAAGTCCCATTGGCCACAAACCGGCCAGTGGGATTGTGCTAGGGACAGTGCATGAAACCTTTCCCCTAACCTTCCCCAAAGCTGTAAAACACGAACAGCTGGTAGCTGCTTTTCAGAGTGGCGTGGGTGTGGGGGCAGGCAGGGAGTCTGCCTGAGACTTCCCACTGCGTTCGTGGGCCAGATCTGGTGGCTTGGCAGGCCAGATCCAGCCCTCCAGCCTTATTTTGCTCAGGCCTGGTTTAGATACACAATAAACAAACCGGCATGCGTGCAAGCTCTGAAGTATGTGTGCATCTGAATGTATTGGTGTGAGATTCATCAACCATGTACACATTTAAAGCTATTAGTAGATAATGGTTTAAAGATCTGGTACTCTTAAAATGGGAAGCAAATGAAAATCTGTATCAGAATATGTTTCAGATCACAAGGAAGTGTTCAAAAGATTTTTAAAAAATCAAAAACAGGAAAAAGATGAGGTGAGGTGCAAATGGTATGGGCAAATTTTAAGTGTAAATATTTGTAAGCTAATAGTTCTGTGTCTACAACAATAAACTATTTAAACACCAAATAAAAATTTTTGGAGATATTATTTCTTAAAATAGGAGGTAGCATATTTGAGTTTTGTTTTAATTCTGCAGCAAACCACATTGAATTTGAATGATCAAAACATTAGTCTACAGATTACAGGCAGTCCCTGGGTTACGTACAAGATAGGGACTGTAGGTTTGTTCTTAAGTTGAATCTGTATGTAAGTAGGAACTGGCATTCAGATTCAGCCGCTGCTGAAACTGATCAGTTTCAACAGCAGCTGAATCTGGAAGCCAGTTCTGACTTACATACAGATTCAACTTAAGAACAAACCTACAGTCCCTATCTTGTACGTAACCCAGGGACTGCCTGTAATCTGTAGACTAATGTTTTGATCATTCAAATTCAATGTGGTTTGCTGCAGAATTAAAACAAAACTCAAATATGCTACCTCCTATTTTAAGAAATAATATCTCCAAAAATTTTTATTTGGTGTTTAAATAGTTTATTGTTGTAGACACAGAACTATTAGCTTACAAATATTTACACTTAAAATTTGCCCATACCATTTGCACCTCACCTCATCTTTTTCCTGTTTTTGATTTTTTAAAAATCTTTTGAACACTTCCTTGTGATCTGAAACATATTCTGATACAGATTTTCATTTGCTTCCCATTTTAAGAGTACCAGATCTTTAAACCCAGACGCGTCTGGGCTGTCCGCTGCCCGCGTGCTCCGCCGCTTTGCTTCCTCTCCCTGGTCTGCTGGAGACCAGGGAGACGGGCCCTGTTCGTAACTGCGGATCCGACATAAGTCGGATCCGCGTGACTCGGGGACTGCCTGTACTTTTTCCCTTTCCTTTCCATCCATCAAAATGAACCCTGGTATTTATCCAGAAAAATTAATATTTTTTCCACCTATTTTCACCTGTTTTTGTTGTAATAAACACCAATGAATTCTCAGGCAAAATAAAATACAGTAAAAGCTGAAAATGAAGGATCCTAGGTATCCAGAACAATTTGTCGAATTCTAGAAAAACATCTTATTCTTTTCTCTGAAATCCAAAAACCTCATTTTTCTTCAGATTTTATCTCTTAGGCTCATTTACTTGGCTATAAGCAAATGTATATAGAGTTGATCAGATTCAAGAATATGGGGAAGGTATACAAACAACCTCTTCATTTGTATACCTTTACACATTACATTGCAACTATTAATCATTGCATCATACATTTTTGGCTGGGCTTCTTTTGCAGGACCCAGTCTCTGTGCGACATGCTTTGTCCATGTATTGTGCACTATCAGTCTCCTCTTTTTACAGCCCTAACTTATTTTGTCCATTGTTCGTAAATGGTTCAGTGGGTGTTCTCTGTCTTATAGTAGTTGGCTCATTCTGTCTTTTTAGCCTAATGACCTGTTTGCACACTAATAATTTACTTACTTCCCTAATTCTACCCTCCAAGAAATGAGGCTTCCTTCTGAGTGCTAATTACTCATGTCAAGCCAGGCCACAGCTACATCATTGAAGAATGTGCCTGCTCTATAATATCCCTGAGCCATGGGATCAGGAACCCCTGCATCTGCAGAACTTTGAGTTCCGGTGACCAAGTGCTGCTCTTTCTTGTGTTATGAGCTGATCTGAAAGGTCATGATGAAGTCTATAGTTGTGTCACAGAGGTCACAGATTCCATGATTGTAATGGACCTCTGTGACTTCTTTGGCTTCAGCTCCTGTAGCCTGAGCAGTGGCTCTGGAACAATAGCTGGGGCAAAATCAGGATCAAGTCTCAGGCTTCTGTGAATTTTTGTTTGCCAGTGACCTGGCTGTGACTTTTACTAAAAATACTTGTGAGAGTATCATAACCTTAGTCATGATTCTGTAAGGAGAATCACTCAGGCAAACTCCTATGTCCATACAGTACTTGCAGGATTGAGACCCAACATTTTAAATGCCAAGTTTTGATGTGTAAAATTTTAAACATTGCATTTGAAAAGTAATTTTTATCCATTGGCTTCATAGGTATAAAAAGAAAATTATGGTAACTAAACTACTAAAATTGCTTTTTAATTTAAACTTGGGGGTGGTGCCCCCTGCTCGCTATGCTACCAAACCCCCTGTCAGAGACCTAGTATTTCTATGGGCCCCCCAACATGGTTCCCTATTATACTTAATATAAAAATGACAGTCATAAGAAAATATGGAGGTTGCTTGTATAGTGTTGCTAATCTAGTAGCCTTATCAGAGGTGTATATCAGACAGAATATCATGGGTGCTGTAGCTAAATACTGTTAATGGATTCCGTTTCAATAAAATGCTAGTCAGAGTAGAAAATATGTATAGATTAAGGTATTCAAATTGATCACTTTTGTTAGTTAACTGGTCAGTGTTAGTCTGCCATGGGCAGTGATTTGAATATTTTGAAAAATTAGCTTAAATGTTTATGCTTTCCCATAGATACACTAATTTTGATAGTACCCCATATAGCATTTTCATGTGTGGTCTCCAGGGGTAATGTATCAGACAACATTACAGTAATTAATCTGTTAGAAAACGAAAGACTAGAAGTAATTTCTTTCTGAGAGTAGACTTCTGAGCTTTCTTAATAGCCTGTGTTATCTGAAATTAACACTGAAACAAAGAAACAGCAAAACTAAGCTATGAAATATTCTATATTACTATTTGTGCTGGGGCACAAGTAAACGTATGGCCAAAAGTTTGAGTAGTAATAATATGTGCTTAATTTGATAGTAGGTTTTAACCAGAAAAGATAAAGTGAAAGGAGCCCCAGTCAGGGCTCTTGTGCGTTTCAAAGGCTCAGGCACTGCAGGGAGTTCAGGGCCAGCTAGGGAGTCGCTGCTGTCCCTGTGGAGTTTCTGCTTGTGAAGTGTACAAGAGCCACAGGGCTCTGGTATATTTCAAAGGCTTAGGTGCCAGGGAGTGCAGGGCCAGTGGGGGAGTCCCCCAATGGCCCCAGGCTCCCTTCTGCTTTTGAAATGTACAAGAGCCCCTTTGTACATTTCAAAAGCCACAGGGTCTGAGGGGCTAGAGGGGTTCCCCACTGGTCTCAAGCTACCTGCAGGGCTTCCTCTTGAAATGTACAAGATCTTCACTAGAGCTCTTGTACATTTCAAAGGCTGAGGCGCTGCAGGGAGCACATGGACAGTGGGGACTCCCCACTGGCCGCAAGCTCTCTGCGGCTTCTCAGCCTTTGAAATATACAAGAGCCCTAGTGGGGCTCTTGTACGTTTCAAAAGGAAGCCCCTCACTTCCTGTGGGGCTTCTGCTTTTGAACTGTAGCAAGAGCCTGACAGGGCTCTTGCTACAGTTCAAAGGTGGAAGCTCCTTTATAGAAAATCCCATTGACTATTTGATTAGTTAATTAATCTAAAATTAACATCCTTACCCCAGACCATCACTTACTCCAATGATGTTGAGATATTTGTCCATTTTTTCATCACTGATAGAATAATAATAACAAGTCTGCTATTCTTAGACATTAAGAAGGCCTTTGCTAAAATAGTGTGATTTATCTTACAAATATGATCAAAGATGGATTTTGAAAGCAGTATTAAGACTTGAATATATGTATTATGACTCTACACTACAGCTACTAGGAGAAAATTTGCTGTAGTACACTTCAAAGTATTTCAGCTACAAGGAGGAGCCAAACAATTGTTCTTCTGTCTCCAAAGTTTGCCCTATATATTGAATCCCGGAAAAAAATATGTTAGACTCATAGCATACCATATTAAAATTAAAATGGAACATAAAATAGTGCTGCAAGTCAGTAATGTGATGTTAATGGTTACTAATCTGTATGATCTGTATGTTTTAAATTTTAAATACAGGGGTTGATTAATGTATAATTAAACATCTGTAAGGTACGTGTGTGTATGTGATCTAAACAATTCATAGTAGTCACTACTTTCCTACCCCAACTATCTGAAACTAATTTTCCACCCATTGTTTTAAAACAGAAAAACAAGTTGTTGGATTGAGAATAAAAACTATATACTCTAGAAACTCTAATCCAACTCCCTTTATCTGGAAATGGTGAACTGGATGCAATGTGAGACATGTGCTCCATGGCTAGGGACCTTTTAGGTAAACAAAGTGGTGCGGGCCAGCTAGCAGTTTTCACTAAGTGGGCCTATTGCTCACTGTGAGAAACACTGATCTTGATTTTAATTGCTTTAACCAGTCTTCAGGATTCCTATTGGCAAAATTGTTTGTCAAAGAAATTTTTATTTAAAGTTGAAATGTTTTTCAAATGATTTGTATTTATTGCACAATGTATTATAGGTTGTACCTCTATAAACCAGAACTCTCTGGTCTGGCATCGTCCGTGGTCCAGCAGGACTATGGATGTTCCAGGATCAGAGTCCCACAGTGTGTTGCGGAGAGGGGGAGCAGGAGCCTAACATGATGAGAGGGGAGGGAGGATAAGAGCCCAGAAAGTGTTATGCAGCTAGGTTGTGGGGAAGCGGGTAGGAGACGGGAAGGCTGGCATGCAGCGTAGCTGATCATGGGCAGCTGGGAAGCCTGGTGAGGGGCAGGGTAGGGGGTGGGACCCGCAGCAGGGGTGCCAGAAATGACCTCCCCTGGTCTGGCAAAATCCCTCATTTGGGACAAGTCAGGTCCTGAGGGTGCTGGACCAGGGAGGTCCAACCTGTATAAAATATATTAAAACTTCTTCATACACTTCTAGAGAACGTATGTGAATATAAGGTACTGGAAAGAGTTCTGCATATTAGAATAACTCTGCATATAGATAATAAAAATAATATAATGAAAAAGTTTTACAGATTTTATATTTTGTGTTTACCTGAAGTTAAGAAGAAAAAGATCAGAAATGTTATGTATTTTCTCTAAAATAATAATTACATATTTCACTCTTCCAAAATGAAAATCAGGCTTCAGTTAGTTTTACATTTTACATTTTAAATTTAATTTTCACTGATAATTCCCTTTTAGGAATTTAAAAATTATGTAATTTGTCTGCAGTTTTGTTCTTTTATTTATTGGAATACTATCTCTTTATGTGGATTTATTTATGTGAATGCTAAACAAAAGGGAAAGCAACTTTATGATGGTCCATTTCATTCTGTTGCTCTAAAAGAGACTTCAAGAATTTCTCTTCTGAATTGAAAAAGGAGTGACGAAAATACAGCAGTTCTATTTGGTCAAAATTTAAATGCCTATTGTCAAAGATTTACTGTTCTGATACGTAGACCATTTTCTATCATTCAGAAAGCCATTGATGTGACACTTTATTTAATACTTATTTTAATTCTTCAGGTACTTTACGGCCTATTTCTCCATGGCGTTGGCTTTTTTCAGTTGTGGTTCCACTAATGATTGCTTCACGAGCCTTTAAGAAAAAAAGTCTGGATCACAGTGGAGCTTTAGGGGGTATGTATTTTCTGGGAGTATAAAGTGAATTATAAGTTAATTATATATGTGTATATGATTATATTTATATTATATAAATTAATATGTCTGTCTTAATTTTTGCTTTTCTGTGAAGTTTTTAAAAGAACTTCCTATTCTCAATCCTATAATAATGTAAATATGTAAGTTTAAGCATACAATATCTCTCATGGCTTTATTTTGGTTTAATGTTGTATATCATTTCCACTTGTTTAAGCAAGCAGTTTTATTTATGCTACTCTTAACTACAGCTCACTGTTTATATTGCCAGTAAGACTTATTTAACTATATAAAATTATTTTAAGCTCAGTACAGTATATACATTACATCTGTTTTAGGGTACGGCTACACTGTAACACTGTTTTGAAATAACTAGGGCTATTCCGAAATAACTTAGTCTGCATCTACACAGCAAGCAGTTATTTAGAAATAGTGTCAAAATACTGTCAAGCTGGAGGACTTCTTACTCCAATTCCTGTAACCCTCATTGTATTAGGTATAAGGGAAGTTGAAGGAAGACTGCTCTATTTCGAAATAAGTGTTGTGTAGACACTCCCTATTTTGAAATAAGCTGTTTTGAAATAAGATACGCTATTGACATAGCTCAATTTGCATAGTTTATTTCGAGTTAAGCCCTGCAGTGTAGATGCACCCTTAGATGTCAAATCCACTACAATAATGGCAGTGAGGTATGAAATAACATACACCATATTAGTCTGCGGAATCTAGAGTCTTAGTGGAGAGACTTATGATTGCAATCTCTCTGCAGTCATGCATAGACAGAAAAATAGAAGGGGTATGGGGAAGTAGGCTGCAGCAAACTATTCCCTAAATCTGATCTGATTGATTCCTCAATTTACCTGATATAGACTAGGGATGTTAAAAATGTTAAAATGTATTTATTTAGGTAAATGTGTAATCATTGTCATTTTCAGTGGTTTCACATTTATACGCAGGGGCGAGGTGGCTCCTGGAGAGATACAGCTCTTCCCTCTCCCACTGCGCTGCTTCCTCTGTAAAAGCTGGCATCCTGTGCATACTGGTTCCCACCTCCCTCCACCCTGCTTTTGCCTCTTATACAGAGGCAGCAGCACAAGGGAGGCAGGGCTGCATATAACTATGCACATTAATACAGGAGGCGAAGCTCATCAGTTAACCATGTACATGTTCATATCCCTAGTACAGAACCAGACTGTTCTCTGTAGCTCCCTTTGCTGAGGATCATAGAATCATAGGACTGGAAGGGACCTCGAGAGGTCATCGAGTCCAGCCCCCCACCCTCAAGGCAGGACCAAGCTCTGTCTACACCATCCCTGACAGATGTCTATCTAACCTGTTCTTAAATATCTCCAGAGAGGGAGATTCCACCACCTCCCTTGGCAATTTATTCCAATATTTGACCACCCTGACAGTTAGGAATTTTTTCCTAATGTCCAATCTAAACCTCCCCTGCTGCACTTTAAGCCCATTACTCCTTGTCCTGTCCTCAGAAACCAAGAGAAACAAATTTTCTCCTTCCTCCTTGTGACACCCTTTTAGATATTTGAAAACCACTATCATGTCCCCCCTTAATCTTCGTTTTTCCAAACTAAACAAGCCCAGTTCACGAAGCCTGGCTTCATAGGTCATGTTCTCTAAACCTTTAATCATTCTTGTCACTCTTCTCTGTACCCTTTCCAATTTCTCCACATCTTTCTTGAAATGTGGCGCCCAGAACTGGACACAGTACTCCAGCTGAGGCCTAACTAGTGCAGAATAGAGCGGCAGAATGACTTCACGAGTTTTGCTTACAACACACCTGTTAATACAACCTAGAATCATATTTGCTTTTTTGGCAACAGCATCACACTGTTGACTCATATTCAACTTGTGGTCCACTATGACCCCTAGATCCCTTTCCGCCATGCTCCTTCCTAGACAGTCGCTTCCCATCTTGTATGTATGGAACTGATTGTTCCTTCCTAAGTGGAGCACTCTGCATTTCTCCTTATTAAACCTCATCCTGTTTACCTCTGACCATTTCTCTAACTTGCTAAGGTCATTCTGAATTATGTCCCTATCCTCCAAAGAAGTTGCAACCCCACCCAGTTTGGTATCATCTGCAAACTTAATAAGAGTACTCTCTATCCCAATATCTACATCATTGATGAAGATATTGAACAGTACGGGTCCCAAAACAGACCCTTGAGGAACTCCACTTGTTATCCCTTTCCAGCAGGATTTAGAACCGTTAACAACAACTCTCTGACTACGGTTATCCAGCCAATTATGCACCCACCTTATCGTGGCCCTATCTAAGTTATATTTGCCTAGTTTATCAATAAGAATATCATGCGAGACCGTATCAAATGCCTTACTAAAGTCTAGGTATATGACATCCACCGCTTCTCCCTTATCCACAAGGCTCGTTATCCTATCAAAGAAAGCTATCAGATTAGTTTGGCATGACTTGTTCTTCACAAACCCATGCTGGCTATTCCCTATCACTTTATTACCTTCCAAGTGTTTGCATATGATTTCCTTAATTACCTGCTCCATTATCTTCCCTGGGACAGACGTTAAACTGACCGGTCTATAATTTCCTGGGTTGTTCTTATTCCCCTTTTTATAGATGGGCACAATATTTGCCCTTTTCCAGTCTTCTGGAATCTCCCCTGTCTGCCATGATTTTTCAAAGATCATAGCTAAAGGCTCAGATACCTCCTCTATCAGCTCCTTGAGTATCCTGGGATGCATTTCATCAGGACCTGGTGACTTGCTGACATCTAACTTTCCTAAGTGATTTTTAACTTGTTCTTTGTGTATCCTATCTTCTAAACTTACCCTCTCTCTGCTTGTATTCACTACGTTAGGCACACCTCCAGACTTCTCGGTGAAGACCGAAACAAAGAAGTCATTGAGCATCTCCGCCATTTCCAAGTTCCCTGTTACTGCTTCTCCCTCCTCACTAAGCAGTGGGCCTACCCTGTCCTTGGTCTTCCTCTTGCTTTTAATGTATTTATAAAAGGTCTTCTTGTTTCCCTTTATGCCTGTAGCTAGTTTGATCTCATTTTGTGCCTTTGCCTTTCTAATCTTGCCCCTGCATTCCCGTGTTGCTTGCCTATATTCATCCTTTGTTAGTTGTCCTAGTTTCCATTTTTTATATGACTCCTTTTTTATTTTGAGATCATGCAAGATCTCCTTGTTAAGCCAAGCTGGTCTTTTGCCATATTTTCTATCTTTCCTACACAGCGGAATTGTTTGCTTTTGGGCCCTTAACAACGTCCCTTTGAAATACTTCCAACTCTCCTCAGTTGTTTTTCCCTTCAGTCTTGCTTCCCATGGGACCTTACCTACAAGTTCTCTGAGCTTATCAAAATCTGCCTTCCTGAAATCCATAACCTCAATTGTGCTGGTCTCCCTTCTACCTTTCCTTAAGATCATGAACTCTATTATTTCATGATCACTGTCCCCTATACTGTCTTCCACTTTCAAGTTCTCAACTAGTTCCTCCCTATTTGTTAAAACCAAATCCAGAACAGCTTCTCCTCTGGTAGCTTTTTCAACCTTCTGAAACAGAAAGTTGTCTCCAATGCAGTCCAGAAACTTATTGGATAGCCTGTGCCTCGCTGTGTTAGTTTCCCAACATATGTCTGGATAGTTGAAGTCCCCCATCACCACCAAATCTTGGGCTTTGGATAGTTTTGTTAATTGTTTAAAAAAGGCCTCATCCACCTCTTCCACCTGGCTAGGTGGCCTGTAGTAGACTCCTAGCATGATATCACCCTCGTTTTTTACCCCTTTTAGCTTAACCCAGAGACTCTCTACACAGCTATCTCCTACGTTCATCTCCACTTCAGTCCAAGTGTGTACATTTTTAATATACAAGGCAACCCCTCCTCCCTTTTTTCCCTGTCTGTCCTTCCTGACAGAATGTGCTCAGCATGTTTGTCTTAGACCTGCCCACTCTTCCCTGTTGAAGAAACAAAAACATGAACAGGGAAGAACTGTTCATTCTTCTTTTAAAAGACTAGGGGGGCAGTGTCCCCTGCTCTCTCTGCTTCCAAACTCAGCC